CAATTTTATTCCCATGATTAATTAAGATTCAAAAAACAATGATAAGTTTTGAGACAATGTCTTCCAAACAGGTTTACACATTCTGCCAAACTTGGCTATATTGTTTGTGCTTGGCAGTTGTACTCGGGTTCTGGAATACAACATGGATATTCATACATTTCTAGCCAATCCATTGTGGTTTGTTTCACTTAAACATGAAAGTAAGAGGTATATTTCAGCGTTTTTCTACTTTTGTGAAACAGAACTTCTCTGAAATGTCACATTTGCACCATGGACTAAAAGAAATCCCTAATGCCAAGGTGGTTGTAGATGCTACTTTTTTTACTGGCTGATCTCCTAATCTTTTTAATATGGCTTTGCTGGGTTTTTATAGGTTCAGGGTTTTTATCCATCGAGATCAAAGCTTTGTGAAGTCTAGCAGCTCATGGAAAGCTGCAAAAAGAGAACACGTCAAACAGATTGGCTAATCACACTGTTGAAGCTGCGGTTGTGTGTAGAGACTTGAAAAGCCATACGACAACAATGCTATCGCTTTCTGCTTCATCTCGTTTTTCTTTTTCACTTGCTGAATTGTATCTCTTTTAGTTCCTCATGAAGTCTGCTTCTATTTTGGTTTAAATGCTCTTGGATGTCTTTATAGTTTAGAGGCTCCTGGGGTTTTTGAGCCTCCTGTTGCTCTCTGCTGCATTACAAAAAGTCAATTCTGTATGACCATACAAGCAGAGGGTTGAGGGTGGTATTTGCAAATTGGCCGCAAATTTGATTTGCAAAAAAAAAAAAAAGAAAAAAAAAAGTATACTTTGTCATATTTTTCACTAAAACCTCTGTGCTGTGTGATCAGAATGTAAGATTTTTCCAAATCATTTTCATTTGAACTGCATTCTTTTTAAATCATAACCTTTTATCACAGAAAACATCTTTGTTTGTCAATAAAGACAGAAGACTGGACAGAGGATCTGCCTTTGTATTGCATCATTTAAGGTCAGGGTTAGAGTTAGCATTTTGTACCTCTTCCCATTAAATAGATTAAATTCGACCACATTGCCACTGCTCAAAATAATACACAGGTTGGTTTTGTATTGACAGGTCAGTGTTGACCCTAACATCAGAAGATTGCGAATCCAAGTCCCAAAGATGCCACAACCATCCATGGCTGGGAACTCAAGAGATTAAAATAGACTATCTTCTCTGGATGGGAGGGATGGCATTACTATCTCCCATGTCAGAGTGACACTAACCAATTGTGGGCATCTCAGAGCTCGTGCATGCAGAAAAGGGCAGTTAGCACCTTCTTCCAAGTGTTCAGTTACACAGTTACCTAGCATGGGCAGCAGGAAGTACACGCTAGCCTTCACCCCTTCCTGGTTGGTAGCTGTTTTGAAATAAGGAAGAGATAGCTGGTGGGTGGGAATTGGCAGTTGACCAAATGTGGGGAAATATGGTGTTAAAAAATGGTAATGGGTTGGATTTCATTTTATCAAAAGTACAGGTATGACTTTTAAACTTGGTTCTAACTCTAATCTTAACCTTTGTGCCTTTTCCTACAACATGACTCTAGCAACTTTTTACAGATCAGTAAGTGCAAGATCATGTTTGATTTATCACATTTGCTGACAATGCCATCATTACTGAGGAAATATTAGAATATCCAAACTTATGCAAATGAACAGCTTTTCCAGCAGCTGGAACATTATTATGGACAGTATTTTTTGCAACCATATTGTGCATGCATTTTTCCTGTATATTAATATGTTAAAATGTCCCCTTTTAATATATTCTGTTGAATCCCGATGACTCATAGTAGCAACATCTACCGAGGGAATATTCTGCTATAGACGCTATATCATGTTTATATACAACAGAGATCTGTTCCACCTCCGCCTCTCTGTTTTCCTTGCTCTCCTCCTCTCCATGGGGATTTCTGCCACTCTCCCATCTTCTCGATTCCCTTCACTGGCTGAGCATCTTTGCTAATGGTGTAATGGCTTTTGCCTCTTATTGCTTGTTTTTATTCTGAAGCCATAACGGACGCCAAAGCTGGCACATTGGCTGTGGCTGAAAGAACCGCTCAGTAGAGCATCATTGCCCAATGTGCTGCGATGTCATGAAGGTTGTCGCACTGCCAAATGGGAGGATTGTTATGTGTGTCATGGAGTGAGCTGGCCTGTGCCTGGCACTGCCAACACCAGCATACTGCGGAAAGAAGCGCTAGTGCAGCAGATCACACTCACAGCTGTATATTATAGTGGGTCAAATGTACAAAACGCACATGTTGTAGTTTTAATGGTCTGTGAATATTTAACTGCTGGGGTCAAGCGAGGGGGAAAGACAGTAAAAATCAATGAATTGGATTTTTAAATGGTCTTCAATGTAAAGAAAAAAAAACTGAGAGAAAAGCAAGTGCTGATGTATGAAACTTGGCTGAGGTTTCGTTACTGCAGATGTGTGGCAGAGAGAAGAAACAGCAAATTTTCAGCGAGCCATCACTTTTTGTTGTGTGCTTTTGTATATTTGTGTGTACATGTGCCTGAGTTTATGTCAGTGTATCCGCTCTCTCTCTCTTTCTCTCTCTCTCTCTCTCTCTCTCTCTCATACACACACACACACACACAAACAGACACACACTGCCATGCTCATAAATTAAATTCTCCAATCAGAGAGCATGAAATACAAATAAGGAAATAGAAAAACAAGCTATCCCTCTGTGAAGCGATGCATGCCAGCATACTTCTATCCCATAGCATCTTCACACAAGCAACTAACAGCATAACATTCAAAAAGGCGGAGAGAGTGGTACAGAAACCATCTGTACCAGGCCTTGTCTGCATGCATAGTGATCCTCGCTGTTTTCTGGGCCATGCAGAGCACAACAACACTAGCTAGAGGCTGATATCTCTATTTTGCATGTGGCTTTTAGACGGATGGAGCCCCGGGCATGGTGCACAAATTCCATCAGCTTCTCAATATTCAAGCCCCCAGAAATAGATGGTTAGATAGATGGAGGGAGGGGGTGGTAGACGTTAGGAGACATTTTGGGGTGGTAAATGCATAAGGTCACAAAAGATGCATATCTTAAGAGGGAACATAAAATGAATAATACAGTTAGACTTGATTATGGAAACATTCGATAAAGGATAACAAGGTCCTGGGCATTTTCTGCGTTTCCTCCACTGGCTTCCTGTAGCTGCCCGCATTAGATTTAAAACCCAAATGCTTGCCTATGAAGCCAATAATGGACTAGTCCCTCCCCTACCTGATGGCAGTGGTCAAATCCTGAATGGCACCAAGCACGCTTTGAGCCAAGCTCAACATGATTTGCCATTGTTCAAGATACAAAGATGAACATAAAGACTTCATTCTGTACTGGCCCCAGGTGGTGGATGCAAACAGCTGAGTCTTTTAATGTCTTCAACTTCCTTTCAATAAGCACTTACCCTGTGCTCACATCGGCAGCCATTTTGTCACCCTACGTTTTTTCAGTTTGCACTTGCTAATGGGCATTTTGGCATTTAGTATACTGACAGTTGCCATGGTTTCACTGGTAGTACCAAGCTAGTCGATATGTAATATGGAATAAAATGCAGACTTTGGGACACTCTGTTATAGGAAAATAATCAGCAATGGGGTGGAGTGATAAAGGTGTGGGTACCACACCCTGACAATAACAGCACATCCCAAAGTGTTTTATTTATCTTAAACCACAGCAATTATAATTAATTAATAACACAACATGCCTTACTTGTTTTTATCAGTTTATAATTACATTTAATAGTGTGGCACATCCATGAGACAAGTTAGTTCCTGTTATTACTTTTGTTATAGCAGCTATAAACATTCATTCCCTCACCAGCCTCTCCTTTTTCTCTCTTTTGAAGACAGAAAATCACAGCTTGTCATGTTACAGAGAAACCTGAAAGCGCAAAGTCCCCTAAGTTTTCCCATGGTGGAAAACTTACTGACTGTTACAAAGTGTTGACACTGGAGACTCCTTTCAAAATTTGAAAAAAGAAATTTAAATAGTGACATATTTTTTAATCCATTTATTATTAGCCTTAGATTTTGTTGAGCATCCATCATCCAAGAGCTGCTACTACAGAAACGATAACCTGTAACCAATCATTGCATTAATATAACACCTTCTGACCAATCAGGTTCGAGAATTCAACAGCACTGTGGTTCTAATGCTACAAAAACAGCATAACTAGCTACAGAATGTATACAAAAACAACCATTATATCACAAAGAGGTCTTCCAGTTAAAAATGAAAAATCTGGAAGGAAACGCTGGTGTATAAATGACATCACCATATACTAATGTCAAAATAAGTATAAAACAATATTTTGCTGTTCATGATTTCTGCTTAAGTGTTTGTATCCAAATAGAATGATGAAAACACCAAAGTTAACCATGTACCCATGCAGTGTCACAGCCGGTGTGAATGCAGGGTAACAACAACAATCTTATGTATCAACAGTAGCTCCTGTTTTGCTAGCCCTAGCTTGTTGCTATATTTGAGTCTGTGAGTCTGCACTAGCAACAATTTGTTTTCCAAGTAAACAAGACACTTCTGTCTTGATTACAGCATTTGCCGTATGCCATAAATAAATGCAAATTTAAATGTAAATGTCAAATGCATATAAAGAGAAAGAAACATGCAGTGAGCTAGAAACTGAGGAAAATATTGTTGGGTAATAATATTTGCATAGCCAAATGCAATGCAAGTGTTCTGAGACATGAAGTGGAAAAAAAAAAGAATATACTGCTACAAAAAAATATGGCCATGGAATATTTTTAATATCATCTGTAAGCACATTCATATAAGGCTGTTGTATGAAAGACCATTCCACAATATTAAAAATAACCACAGGAAAGAAAGTACCTAGGCACAAAAAACATGGTTAACAGTTTATTTGAAGACAATCTACATACCTCATGTATAAAAAGATGAATAATAGATTTAAAGAATAATATATAAGTAAATATGGGGGGTTTATTTAGGG